TTAGATTCATTATTCGACAACACTGATTCAGTCTAACAACAAGGTGAAATCAGTAGAGTAGTGGTTACCGTTTTCGCTTTCCAATTAGAAGGTCGTGAGTTCAATCCCAAGCTCAACCCTTTTTTTATTTGTGTTCTACGTCTAATTACTTTAAATAGTAATCATCGATCACATGACTCACGATAATGAATGCATTGATCTAGTTTAAAATATAACCGAGCATCCTTTCTTTCGACGTGGAGATGTGAAGAGGCAACATTGGTCTCATTTAAAACAACGATGAATGAATTAATCATTCCTACAGGGCCTTGAAGGAGCTAGAGTTGCGATCGAGAGTGCTGATAGATATTTACTTTCATGCAAGCTTTTATTGATTATTGAGTTGCCCATATGATGAATTCTACGATAGCTCAGATGACAAGGCCAGCGGCTGGTGATCGGAAGGTACATGGTTCGAATCCCATACAACGACATGTATTTTAGTATTAATAAATTTTCTAATGTCTGTGTGGTGCGAGCCACGTCAGAAATAATGAATACAATACACTTAAGAAACACACCCTTCCCTTCCCTGTTGTCCCTCTTATTTTTGGGTTAATTTTCCCACGGTTTAATAATCGTTTAATATAAATGTAAAATAAAGTCTAATTAAACGTTACTTCACATGATAATCAACCGTATACAGAGCAGCACTGTTTTAAGGAAGCAGTGATGTCTAATAAACGCTGAATAATCTAAAATTTTATCGTATAAACTCTGTTACAACTCATATAAGTCGAATAAAAGCTTCTCGATATAGCTTATACAACACCAAGTAGATCAATGTTGTGGTTGAATAAATTCTCCAGATTTGTGTGAACAAAGCCTGAACAGAAGTTATTATTAAAAATAGTACAAGTACTGTTAAGCATGCAGTTGAATAAAATTGCCAAGAAGTCGTTTCTTCAATAGACGATTGTTTGTTGGGACAGTAGCGCTGCACTTGAGTGAAAGTGGAAGCAACGCATAGAAAAATGCAAATACACAAACCCTTCTTCTGAGGATGAAATCTTTGCTATCAAATTCGTTCGAAGCATTTACCTTTAAGTGGCAGATGACGCGATTGTACCTGTCTCATAGTGTTTGTATGAGGAAATGGAAGAGTTGCCAGTCTTCTTGAATAGTTGTCTTCGCCTAAGGGTACACAGTTCGAAAAAGTAGTGAATTAAAATTCAGAATTTTTATCTGTGTAGAAAATTTGTCGAAAAACTGGGAATTCTCAGAGAATTTAATCGTAGAGACTAGTAGGTCCCGAAGAAAAGTGCTCAAATTTTAGGCTCAGCTCTGGTACTCTCTTCGGTCCCAAGCTAATCAATGCACCCCTCGAAACATAGGAAAATCTACGAACCCCTCATTTTAAACAAACATTTAGTAGTACTAGAATGGGGTACGTTAATCGATTTGCTTGGGACCAATAGGCTAGTCAAGTAGTGAGCCAATTTAAAATCGATTGTTTCGTATTGATTGTTGATTTTATTTTTAATAATTGTCTTACTAAGAATGCATTTTAAAATAAAAACATTTAACATTCCTAGTTATTTTCATTCACATTGAACTTTATAGATCCAGAATGGATTAATCTTCAGTAACAAATACAATTTTAAAATTCAGAGGCTTAAAATGATTTTTTTTTGTTCTAGAATATGAATATTTCCCACAAATTTTATAAATTCTCAACTGAAAAGTTATAATACTTCAAAAAATTTTCAAGAATCTGGAGTCAAATTCCTTGCACAGTTTTAAGGCTCATGGAATTTTATTATAATTTCTTATGACCTCATTTTACGGGAGTTCTGGGAAAAAAATCTATGAGAAAAACATCAACTGCAATCTACCTTTATGTTAGTTCTGGGAAATTTTAGACTTCATGTGAAGCCAAGCCTAAGATAGTAAACTCCAAGCGAATTTTCATGATAAATCTCCGTTGAATATGGAATGGACTATTCTGAGGTCTTCAGAACTACTTGAAAGTTCCCAAAATATTCCTGATGTTAATTAAATTGCCTTGAAGTTCTTTTGTAGTTTGAGAAACTAGCCTGATGCTCGTAATACTTTTCAGCATTTTTTTTTAAAAACTTCTCTAAACTTTTTCGGACTTCGTGAAGATTCGACAATTTTCCTAACGATCATGAATCTTCTCTAAAGTGTTAAAAATTCACTGAATTTCTCGAAACCTTTTTAAAATGTATGTAATTCCCCTGCCCTGGAATATCTCTGCACTGAGGATATATGTTCTTCCTTGAAGTTTTTATTTTGTTTAGAGCTCAATATCTTTCTCGAAGCTCTCAAAACTTCTCTTAAGTGTTTGAAGTTCTCATGAAGCTTGTTGTACAACCATGAATTTAATTGAACTGTTCTAAAAATGTTTAAGCTTGTGTGAACTTCTGGACTTATGTGAAAACCTCAATAATTTTCTTAACATCTCTTAAGTTCTCGAAAAATCTGGGAACTTCTTGAAATTTCCTGCTAATTTAGTGAAACTAATGGAACTGAACTCCCCTGAAGTTCCCTACTAAACTTTTTTTTAGATGCTCCCGAAATGTCCATAAAGTTCCTGAAGTTCTAGGATCTTTCCTTTTATGAAGTTCTCGAAGTATTTCTGAATATCTCTGTACTTCTATGAAGTTTTCGAAGATATTCTGAAATTTCAGGAACTTGTCTAAGCTTCCGCAGGTAAATAATCAAAATAATTCTATGATTGTCACTGAAGTTCTCAAGATTTGTCTGAATATCAAATTATCGAAACTAATTCATAACTTCTTCAATAGTCTAGAGTTTCCTGGTGTTTTAAAACTGCCCAAAATATTTCTCAATTTCCTTAAAATTCTATAGACTGCCCTGAACATCTTAGTATTTTTTTAAAGGAACCCACCATTTTTACTGGAATTGATTTAATTGCCTTTAAGTTCTACAGTTTTCCTTAAATTTTATAAAGTTTGTAAACGCTCATGGAACTTTGCCTTAAATCACTAATTTCCCCTGGAAAGCCTGGACATCCCAGAAGTTTTCTATGCTTACCTTAATTTCTCTAAAATGAACAAATTTTCTGATATATATTTATAATTTCCTGAAGCTTCTAAAGTTTTCGGATCAATCATAGAATTATCGCAATATCCCATATCTTATTCTACAAATTTCCTTAAGTTAATGTGATTTTTCTGATGTTCCTCCTCGAAGTACTCGGAACTTCACTGAATATAATGAATCAAGCTAAAAATAAACAAAATTTTTAGAAGTTCTCTGGAATTTCTTGAAAATATATATTTTATTAATGGAACCTCGTTGATGTTCTCTAATCAACTAAGCTAAATTTTCGATTTTTTTTTTAGATCTTGAAATTTCGATTATATAACACCCTTGAAATACTCCCACATTTTCCGGATGTTCCTGTAATTTTTATTGCGTTCCAGAAATTTTCTCTGAGCAATCCGAAATTTCCGGAAATTCCGGTTTCTGCAATTTCCTTGAAATTTTTAGAACTGCCCTTTAGAAATTCTCTGATCTGTCTTGATGTTCTCGGAGCTTCCCTAAAACTGAAGATCTCGGTTCTGCTTTAAAATAAATGAAATTCTCGTAAACACCTTTAAACATCCCTGGAATTCTCTGGATTTCTGTGAAGTTCCTGAAATATTTATGAAGTATTCATAAATTTTGTGAAGGTCTCTGTACTGAATCTTTCGGAACATCTTGAGGGTTCTCGATTTTATTTCAGCACCTCATGGAACTATCGTGAATTTGTCTAAACTCACGCTTAAAGATTTTTAAACCAATTCAATAGTCTGGGCTAAAGTTTCGGGGACTTCCCCTTAAGATCTCTAGATCTAGCTTTTCTGAGATCAATAGAACTTCATTAATGTTTCCACATTTTTGTTAGTACAAATCGTCAAGACATTAAAAGTGTTGTGATCTTAGACTTACTAAAATGAAGTAAGTGTTCAACTTCAACATTCAATGGATTTGATAGTAAAGCTGTTTCTTTAAAACTGATTGTCATGTCTTAAGAACGTTTGCGTTAAAAACATATTTTTAACACATTTCATAAACAGCATTCTTATTATAAACCTGGAAATTATCCGCCAAAGTTATGGAAAAACCTGGAAAACTCAGGGAACTTTATTTAGCGAAATGAGTGGACACCCTGCAGATAGTGAAGAACGATTAAACGTAAAAATAGTGACTTATCACAAGAAAAAGTGACTTTAGTGACCTGACCTTAAAAAAGAGACTTTTTAAGTGACTGGCTTGAAAAAAGTGACCAAGTCACTAAAAAGAGACTCGCTACCAGCCCTGAGTATTGTAATCTCGCAGATCTAAGTTTAGCTATAAGATTATCTGAGAATGTAATCGCATGGGCATGTGTTAAGTTCAGTTTCAACACAAACTGATTCATGTAAGAGGTCGTTCACTTATTACGTAAGGGTTAATGGGGGGAGGGGAGTCTAGGATTTTCTAATTTTTTGGATTTGTTTTATTATTTCTCGGATTTGTCAGAAAAAAAGATCAGAGGGTTTGAAAAATCATGAAACAGTCTTACGAAATTATTTGACGGGCCCTAAACAATAGAAATAAGCATATTAACACCCCGACAGGGTCCTCATTTTACCTCAACGGTTTAATTTCGATTACAAAACGAACATTTTTTTAAATCTTCTTGCATTTTATCAAAAGTTTACTTTTAATATTCAATTTGTATTCATGATATAAATAGGGTTTGAAACTTATTATTAGCTGCAATTGTCACTAGGGCCAAATAATTGGAGCAATTTTCAAAACTGGTTCACCTACCCTAGCACGGTTTTAAAAAACGCGAAACAAAATGAACTAATAAAAATTTAATGAAATTATAAAAATTGATATATGGAATAGTGCTGGACGACACAATTAGCATACAACATTGTTTTTTTTTCGGCAGAGCTTTTCTCTTTATTATCGAGTTTCGGAACATACAAAAAAACACTTAGTTCGTGTTCCCTCCATCAATTTATTTGTGTATTTTCTCCGTACTCTATTATAATAAATTGTAGTTTTTAATTGTGTCATCCTACCTATGCTGCGGCTGACAACAGTTTTATTCTGTAATTATTTATGGAACGCTTCGCTCTTCTATTTCTCTCCGTGCTTCCCTCCGGGGTTGATGGTTACAATTGATCAAAAAAAGTTCACTTTCAAATTTAGAATCCGGTTATCGCTCAGTAATACTTCCAGTTTCCTTCACCGGATTCTTGTGTTTTAGCTTTCTGTTTACGCTCAACCAGAACGGTTAGCGCCTCGGAGCGAACCGAAAGTGAGTCAATCTTTTCCACCAACTGCTGATACGGAGAGAGAGGTTGCGTTCCCATTACAACATGACCCAGCTTGGAGTCAATCTTAGCATCCAACCGAGCATTACGAATCAAATTGACGATCCAGCATTCAGCCTCGTCCGGTTCCATGTTCAATTTGTCCGCCAACATACCAATCGTAATACACTGATGGATACGACAGAAGGTCTCGAAGATCATCAGACGAGCATTCTCGATAAACTCCTGCAGGCAACCGATGATAAAGAAATCGTTGACAATTACCGTCTGGCATTCGTGCAGCTTCATACGGGCGCCTTCAAAGTCAAAGTTGACATACAAATGCTCGAGGAATTCGGTGATCGGATCACGGTAAGTGTAAGACTCCTGCTGGATGATCTTGATCAAATCCTTCAAAGCGTTTCGTCTGCCACGGTTAATGATTACGGCCGTGGCCAGATAACGCAAAATGTGCGGACACATCGTCTGAATAGCATTCAGATACAGTGGCTTGTACAGGAACATCTCAATAATGAGATCGCGTCCCTTGGCATGGTTGAAGAATACCAAGACACTCCAGTGGATCAGCCAGGTGCGCTGTTGCAGCACTTCGATCGGCGAAAAGTTGTGATTATCGATGAAATCACGCAGACGGGTCAAATCTTCGAGCGCTGTTGGCCAGTTTAGAGTGAGAATCTCGGCGGCTAGCTTACCCCACAGGACATTCAAGTAGTTCTTATCGGTAGGCTCCATTACCAACAAGCAAATGTATAAGTACGAAATGGAATCCCTGTAGTTACCGCACTCGTACAGATACTTGGCCAGCTTTTGAGCGCTCTTGATGATGTCATACTTGAACTGCAACGCAAAATTAATGTTATTGCTGTGATGCTACAAATAAGATTATCATAATTCCAAACTCACATCAAACTCTTGCTGCAATGCGTGCACGATCGATTTGGAGTCTTTCATGGAGTCTGGATTCTTGAGTTCCTCCATGCACTTCATCAGTGGTGCCACTTCGGTCTGCAGTTCCTTCAACTTTACCAAGACATTTGCCCTTCGCTTGGACAACTCCTCCGGCAACTCATTACCCATGCTCAGACGCTCACGGATATCCATGGTATAATCAACCATGTTCGTCTTGCTGACCGTTTGCAGTATAAACTTCAGCAACGACGTTTGGTCATAGATCTAAAAAGAGAAAATCATCAAAATCCGGCATTAGAGCCGCGCATTTTTTCATCCAGATTGACAACTCAGCGGTATAAAGCGCAAGACGGCTGCTGCCAATAATAAGAAGAAGAATCGCTTACGTTTTTTTGCAGCAGAAACTCGAGCAGTGGAAAGGTCAGATGCCGGTCGAGGTACTGGCAATTCTTTGCCGTCAAATCAAACTTGGCCATCCTGGGATATCGTAGCACTTCAAACTGGTTCGAAATTCTTAAGAAATCACCTTAAATTAAATCACTTTTACCAGCACGACATGTGGACAATCTTTGGCCTGTCCGTGCGACGTTTGGGAAGAACGAGGAAAATGGATGACGTTTTGCGGCAGAAAAAAAAAGCGGTTTTGACAATCAACGTCAGCGATCCTGGTGGCGGTTGAGTGAACCAGTATGTTAAGGAGTAGGATATTAATATTCAGCACAAGAAACACTTTTATTTTGGACTCGATTTTTTATATGCTCGCCCTAATAAAAATAACCATAAGAAAGAGCTTAACGACGTGTTCGGGGTATCATCCAAACCATTTGTGGGATGGTTCTACCATCCGGGTTACCGTTCGTTAATGGTTTTTATTTATTAGGGCGTTTAAACCAACTCAAATTTTGTCGGCAAGAGTGAGTTGAATTTACCGGGCATTTCCAGAAAAAAAATTCTTGAATATGAGAAAAATCAATAGTGATTTCTCGCGTCACTTTTCAAATAAACCAATGTAACATCAGAGTTGGTTGGAAATGCTAACATGAAGCTTTAGTGTGATGATTTATTAGCTAGAGAATGATCTTTAGAAGAGGGTAGGTGGATAGTTCCGTTAGAGTACGGCAGTATGAAAATTGAATAGAAGTTGAAAATGAGCGAAGGGCCATTAAAGCGACAGTTTTCAAAATGTAACATATCCACGATTTTGAGAAAATCGAAGTTGAAGTTCGACAGATCAGTGCCAACATTTCAAAGAGGCGTTATTGTATTTGTAAACAATGGCTTTAGCCGTCGATTTCTCGCAAATAAAAGCTCACTCATGAAAATTAATTACACCAGCAGATGGAGGAATGTTTCCTCTACCAGCTAGCATTGTTAATTTGGAGAAGTGAGCTTTTATTTGCGAGAAATCGACGGCTATAGCCATTGTTTACAAAAGCAATTACGCCCCTTTGAAATGTTGGCACTGAGATTATTATTTGAGCTGTTTAGAAACAATACATTTTGCAGTACTATTTTTAATGTAGTCAGTGAATAATAACGTTGAAAATTCAGTTGAAACGGTAAAATCACAATTTTGTTTTCAATGTCGCTACAATATATAATAAAAACCACATAGGACGTTTTGGCTAGTCAATTTGTACATCGGACATACTACATTGCACGGTAACCGCAATATACCCAATAATGACTACAAAGTAAGCATTTTCGAGGGAAACTGGGACTATCCATTAAATGAGTAAAATTTTACCCATTTAGATTTTAATGCGTGGGAAAACCCACTAGTCCATTATATAGCCCCCACGATTTGTGTAATCGTTTATGCTATGCTATGCTATGCTATTAAAATCAACAATATTTTTGTTGAAAACTATAATTAAACGAGCAAAGACATGTTGATCCATAAAAAGTAATGTTGTTTTAAACCACTGAATTTTCTCTGCGTGATACATATTTTTTCAAAACTTGGTTATGTCATTGATCGCAGGAAAATCCACGATGCAAATTAAAAATAAAATAGGTAGTTTTTACTCATGCATAGAAAAAAAAACACGAAGGATGACAAATACCCATTTCTGACGTATTCGTCAATTACTCATTAAAAAACGGAATCAAGCTCAACTTTGCATTAGGTTGAAGACAACAAATCAAGAAGACTGGCAACTTTGCCAGAATCGAAGCGACAGATACAGTAGCGCTGCACTTGAGTGAAGATGGAAGCAACGCATAGAAAAAAGAGCAAATACACAAACCCTTGAGGATGTAATCTTTACTATACAATAGGCCAGGCCGTATGAATAAAAAGAGTTTACTTTACTTTCCCGTGCTTTTCTTACGGGAAAAGTAAAGTAAACGCTTTTATTCATACGACCTAATTCTTTCGAAGCATTTACTTTTGAGCGGCAGATGTAATCGTAATCGTATCGTAACGTAACGTATCGTAACGTAACGGCTAAATCGTCAAACCTGCATAGATAAGCGCTCTGTTTTCGAATCGGTTTTAATAGTATCGTTTAATCCATTTGGACTGCAACTTCAGTGAATCGGTAAACAATTAGCTCCTGTACCATCCAACATAAAGTACGCATCGAGTTTTGCCCAAATCGAAGTGGTGAGCTGGTTTGAAAATTCACTCCCTGCTTCTATTCTGCCGCCATTGACAGTGATATTTCGTTGCCAGGAGTGTTTGTGTTTTCTTTAGGGAACGATCGGTGGTGTTACTCATTATCTGCTTTGTGCTCATACTGTATCTGTGTTAGTTGCTCTTTGGGTAGTACTATAATTTGCTGTTTCTGTTTTGCTCCAGTTATTCACACGTTCCACTGTTTACGATTAGATAGGATAGCGAAGGTGTTTATATACGACAGTCTCAAAAGTCGTGTTGTTCAACCTGAGCCAGTCCTGGTCAGAAGTTAAACAGTGCGTGCGGTGCTGATGCGTGAATAGAGTCGCTGTTGTTGTGTATATCGGCGGTCTCAAAAGTTGGTATACATCAGCTCGGCTAGATTCTGGTTCTGGTCGGATGCTTTGGTGGATTCTGAGCGAGACGGTTATTTCGCATTGTATAGGAAACCTAGCTTGCAATTGTACAGTGCAGTTCTAGTTTCAGGGTAGATTTCTGAGTTTTGCTATTTCCTGTTTCCAACTGAATTTACATACTTCTCCTGGTAGGGACTTCTCTCTGAAAGTGTGCTGCAGAAACGTAGGGTGAATTTGATGATCATGGATCCATGTAGAATTTGTGGCAATCCAACTGAGCCCACGGATAAGACCGTCCTGTGCAGTGGATCATGCGCAAAATTTTTTCACCCCTGCTGTGTTGGATTAAACGCGACGAATCACAAAGCCTGGACGGCGAATGTGGGACTACTGTGGTTTTGTGACATCTGCCGAGTAAATTTCAATCCTGTTGTCATGGACCGAGAGACAGTGCTGCTGAAAACTTTAAGGGATCTTCTGGTACGTGTGGATTCCATGGACCTGCGCATCGGACAATATGGAGAAAATTTGAAAGTTCTCAATACCATGTTATCGGCTGTACCATCTAACAGAAGGGAATCCAGTGCATCCAATCGTCTCCAGCAATTACTTTCCGGCTGTTCTGGTGGCGGGCTTGCGGATTTTCATTCGAGTATTGATCGGATAAACCTGGACAGTTCCTTACAATCGCAGTTGGAGAACTCATCAGCTGGTGAGGATGGTCTGGCAGCTCTATCACCTATCGTGGAAAACAATTCTGTGAACCAACTCACAGCCACCCAAAATACTGCAAGTTCCGTTTCGACTGCATCTACCAATACTATTGCAACTGTTATGCTACTACCGCTGCTGCTGCTGCTGCTGCTGCTGCTGCTACTGTCACTACTCCTGCTCCAACTACCATTGCCTCCACTACTACTGCTGCCACCTCTGCCACGTCTACTGCTACTGCTACTGCCACTGCTGCTGCCAGTACTCCTGCTGCCACTTCAACTGCTGCTACTGCTTCCACCTCCACCGCTCTCTCTTCCTCATCATCTGCTGCAACGATCACCACTAACCCGGGAGATGATGAACAACGAAACCCACAAACGGAATGTCGTCTGAGAGTTGCAAATAGGAACCAACGTCAACGTGATCAGACTGAAGAAGTGCTGAGGTCTTTCTATGTAACACCATTCGCCATTGATCAAACAGAAGTCGACATCCTGGAATACATCAAAGAGATTTCGAACGCTGAGAATTCTACACTTCGCTGTGCCAAGTTAGTTCCGAGAAATAAAAACATCGATGAGCTAACATTCATCTCCTTCAAGGTGACGGTATCTGATGACCTGGTTGGTATTGTCAGTGATTCCTTCTACTGGCCCGAAGGCGTTCAGGTCCGTGAATTCGAATCAAAAAACGCGAATCGACCAGTGAGCCTTCAGCAGTCCTAACAAATGAGATGATGATCAGTTCCGAGGTAAGGCCCGATGATGTCTATGAATCGGTTAATTCACGTTGCATTGCTGATACGATCATGAAACACTTTATTGAGAAACCCGCTAGGAACTACATTAAAATTGCCTTCCATAATGTTCGCAGCATTGTTAAAAATATTGATTATTACAGAACCTTCTTTCAGAACTCAAAGCTAGCTGTGTTGGGGATTGTTGAGTCTTGGTTGAAGTCTTCAATAACTAACAAATTTGTTGAGTTAGATGGCTACAAAATTGTTCGTTCTGATCGACTTTTAGACAATAAGAAGCGAGGCGGAGGAGTTGCTTTCTATCTAAACAGTAAAGCAAAGTATAAGGTTCTTGCTAAGTCTGATGCTGGTGATGAAATTGATTACCTTTTTGTTAAATTAGTTCATTCAAAGCTTGTGTGTGGCATTGTCTACAGACCTCCAGATGTAAGGGTTTCTAAACTTAACAGTATTTTCGAACTTGCGCTGGAAATCAGTGCTACTGAATCTCATTTCGTATTGATGGGCGATTTCAATATAAATTTGTGTGACACTTCTTCACCTGTTACAAACAAGTTAATCGATATGGTTAAATCGCTTTCTGTTAAAATTTTGCCTCTTTCCCCCACTTGTCATAAATCAGGCTGCAGTTCATCTTTTATTGATTATGCACTTGGAAATTGTACGTTTAACGTTAGCAACATTTTTCAATCTTCTATAGGAGGTGTTAGCGATCATGATTTGATCTGCTTCGATTACAGAGTTAAGGTACCTCATCAACCTCCAGCTGTGTATTGGACAAGAGAATATCTCAAGATAAACACCGATAGTTTAATAGCTGACTTGCAAAGGTACAATCTTGATGCTATTTATTACTGCAACTCAGTTGATGGAAAATTACAAATTCTAAACGATATGCTTTATTCTGTCATTGATGATCATGCCCCGTTGAAAATGAAAACTACTGTTGATCCTAGTGCTCCATGGATTAATCCATACATCAAAAATCTCTTCCAAAAACGATCTGAAGCTTATGATAAATGGAAAACAGATAAACCCAGCGCAGCTAAATGGAATGCTTTTGCAAGGTTGCGAAATAGGTCAAACCGTGTAGTGAAACAATCTAAGTACACTTACTTCTCTCGGCTCCTTAACCCTTCTCTTTCTTCCAATAAACTTT